TAAATGACGAAGTCATTTCATTTTCTTATTTTTAACTGTTTTGGTATTCAATCAGAAGTCATTGAATTTATTCATCTTAAATCCCTTTTTTAGCATTAATTGGAATTATCCCATGCTTTCCCTCATTGGAAGTATTGCATTAACAAATAGAGTCTCTGATAGTGAACTTCATTGGCGTTGCTGGAATTAAAAGCTGTATTTGTTTGCAGTGGATTATGCTTTAAATCCACTTTAAATTTGATTTGCTCATTTTTTTAATTAGATTTGCATCATATGGGTCAGAACTGTATCTTTGTGATTTTTGAGCATTTAAGTTTTGGTGGTTACATTAAGCAACTAGCCATTTTTCACATTTCTTGTCTTTAAAACAATTTATCTTACATAAGCACTATTTATTTAACATTTGCCAGAATTCAAGAGTAAAATCCTAGGACACTGGACTCTTTATAATATTTAAATAAATTTTTCAATTTCTCAAGCTTAATAGTCTCTTCACACTTTCTTCAGTTAACTTTGGTCATTTAATTTTCTTGAGAAAATTATCTACTTTAAGATTTTTTTAAAAATCAGTTAAAAAGTTAAAAATTATTTATTTTTTAAAATTTTTTAAATCTTCAAATATCTACTTAATTCAACTCAATATGCTCAACCTTTACTCCAAAAGAATACAGTAACGTTTGTATCAAAAGTATCAAACCAAATATCTGTTAAGAAAACCAATAATATTCTCAAAATACATAATTACCTGTCAATTTTTGGCCTATTTAGTATAATCAATTGCATAGTTTTTCCTGGAGTAGAATGGATCAGGTTTACCTGATGTTTGCAAGGATAAAGTACACTGTAAGTTTTCTATTCAGCTAACAACTATGAATGAATGGCAACAGTAGTACGCAGAATTAATTATAGTATAATTTGTACCGTTCATTTGTGGCATGTTTTAGAAGACTCAATAGTGACCGCCTTAAGGAGATACCTAACCTGTCCTCATTTACATGTAGCTGAGCAACATAAATTTCTCTTACCTGTTGCCCCCATAGAGTGGGCAAGTCTAACCTGAACAACACTTGGCGCCTGCAATATGCAGCCAATGAACTGTATTGTTCACCGTGTAAGTGGTCAAGGTTTAGCTTTGAAGGGGTGGTTCCCAGGTCTACATCCAAAGGGTAAATTGTATTCAACTTTGATTTCTTCAAGTTATTCCAGTGTCTGTAGATAGAAAGACTGTGCCCAAAACTTCTGAATATAACTTATATGTAAAACATTTTGTCCACCGGGCCTTAACTGGACAACTCAATATCGTAAGATTTGATGTTATTAAAAAGTAAGGGAAAAGGGGAAAATTAGTTTATCCATATGTAAGAAAAAGGTTCAAGAATTTTGTAAGGGAAGAAATGAGAGAGGAAGGTGAAAGAAAAATAAGATACAAGAAACAAACAAACAAAAAAATCCCAATTGTTTCAGGGAGCGCCGCATGGGGCGCTCCTGGATCTGAGGGTTACTGTCCGGAGCCCGCTGAGGAGGGAGCAAGGCTCTGAATCCCCCAGTGCCCATCCCGGGGTTGTCCCGGATGGGAGAATAAACATAAGTCCTCACAAACACTTCCCTGTCTGCCAGGAGAGGGGCCATGGCTCTTCCCTCTAGTGGAGAGGGACCTGAGCCTGTGTCCAAAGGCTTTTATTGAGAACCATATGCACAGGCATGTAGATGCAAAGCTCCTCAATCAATGTCAAAAGGCTATATTTACAAAAAATAAATAGAGATCATAGATAACAATGGGAGGAACACAAGAGATCTGCCTCAGGTCAGGGTCTATGAATAACGTAAATCTTCCCAGAAGAGCCGGTTATCATCGCTTTTGAGGGAAGAGCAAAGCATGCTTAGCAGAACTTCCTTCCTGGCCTGATTGTCCCTGGGAAATGCCCGATCCAGTTTAGTGCTGTACCTGCCTTTAGTGTTGTTTCAAGCCTGAGCCAGGCGGGCAGGGCAGAGCCACCGAGAGATAAAGAGACTTCTTTCAGATAGAATGAGGACCCCGGCCATGTTCCAGACGAGCAGAGGGATGCGGGCCTTTTTGCCCTTTCTCCGTGTCCCCCAAGTCCTTGTCTGCTGCCCATAACAGACGATGTCTGTCTTAGGTCATCTCTCCTCACAAGAGAACTTACCTGTCTTTGACTAACCAACCATTACAGGGCCAAGCAGGGCGATGTGAGGGTGGCAGGGGCGCAGCATTTCATGGCGAGGGTCAGATTTCATCTCCTCAGTGGCATGTTCTCCCGAGGCCTCCTTGATTTTTTCCAGCCTTGAGGCTCTCTTGTCTGTCGGTGGGGTACAGCCCCTGAAACCAGACAGGGCATTTCCCAACACCCAATGAGATGTTTTCATCAAAGGGATTAGAAATGCTTCTTGGTTGTTGGTTTCTTTTTTTAAGTGTACATTCTACAAATGCTTTATTGTGTTTTATTGTGTTTATTTGTCCTCTCATTCATGCCCGCCTTTCCCTCAGTCATTGTCATCAGTACAGTCTGATGCTAAGGGAGGTCTTTAAAATGTGATCGTCTGTAATGCTTTTCAATGATCACAGAGAAACGAGAATTCCCACATTGCAGTCATCCTGGATAGAAGTGTGCGTGCAGAGGTAACCCGCGGCCTCAGCAGTTGCCCATGGGGTGTCCCCTCCCGTCTGGTCTGTGCGCACTTCCATCATCAGCTCCTGCAACTGGAGCCACTGGGACACCCCTCGTAGCGTAGCCCACTCCACCTCTTACTGGAGCACTAGGCGGAGAGGTGTAATTATGTGGGAGGGCAGCTGAAAAGCTGCTCTATTTCCTGCCTCGAAGAAAAAAGGAAGGAAAGCCGTTTTCACAATGCAGAATGTTTTCTCACTTTAACGTGTATTTGTTCTGAGGGAAGAAATTGAAAAGAAGTTTTTCTGTTTTGGTATGCTTCCTTTATTTTACCTTCCTTTTACTCCCTCACATCTTTTTTTTTTTTTTTTTTTTTCATTTTTAAAGTTGCTGCAGTCTATCCTGTGTAGGTGGTACATTTCTTTTTTTGATTGAAAAAAATCAATAATATAAGTAAGACTTGCATACATGACAAAGTATTTGCTGGATGTACACTTTAAATAAACCAAGAAGCATTTCTAATCCCTTTGCTGAAAAAATTTCATTGGAAGAAAGCCATGGAGTATAGCCACAGTTGCTTAGGAACATAGAGTAATGAAATCCAATCTCCCACGCAGATGTGTGGGAGCCAGAGGATGGTACGGTGAGTGCCCCAGGAACCTGAGCCAGGCCAGGTCAGGTCAGGATTTGTGCTTGGGTTGCAGAGTGTGATGTGAGAGACAAGGTTCGCTGGGAAAATCCTAAATAAGAGCTGAGGGGACCATTATTAATTCAAAGAGACTTAGTGAATTCAGAGAGACTTGAAGATTCTAAGTACACATCCAGGTAGGCATCAGTGGAAAGATAAAAAAGTTTCAGAAGTTGAAAGGTAGAAGTGAAAGATATTTTGAGCCAAGAGAAAGAAAGTGACCCAGTGCAGATGCTTTTGGAGAAGGAGATGTTCTGGGCAGCAACTTAACTTGAGCAAAAGACTATCATAACTTAATTTTAAAACCTAAAACTCTTTTTTATGTTTAAATCTCTCTAAAGAAAACTGTTATATAAAAATGAGATTACGTGAGTATACTTGGATCATACAGATGAACCATTAGACACATCCTATATATGGACATAGACCCAAATATTAATCACTTTTTGAAACAGACTATATCTTTTTAAATATTATTGTCATATTCTTATGATGATTTTTTTAATGTGTATTAAATTCAAACCAAAAACTTATTTCCTCTCTTTCTTGCTTCTTTAGACCATAGTCAGCATTAGGAATGAGCTGTGGAAGACTCATGAATACATTAATGCTCTCCACAGGGAAAGAAGGTAGGAGCCACGGTGCATGCACAAATACAGCTCAAGCAAATCAATAGCATTTCTTCTTGCTTTTATAGAAAAATTATCTACAAAGATTTTACCATGCTTTTTTTTTATCTTAGAAGACATATTTTTAAACAGAGAAATCTTATGATTCCAGTAGGAAGGTACAGTCTCTATTTGAAGAGTTAAACCTAACAAAAATCATCTGGCTAATTAAATTAAATTTTGAGTTTTGATTGCATTCCTTGAAAATTGGTCGAGCATTTTCAGTGAAGTATGATTCTGTGTGTGGTCTAGTATGTGTGTTTTCCCTACTTCTAAAGAAATCAGTACACTTTCTCCAACAGCATCTAACTTCCTACCAGGTTTATCAGGTTTGTTGGAAACTGTCTACCATCTTATTGTACCTCAAGGGACTAATTATTTCTTCAGTTCCTATCTCCTGTTGTCATTCATTAGAAGACAGAATTCCTGATCCTCAATAAGAAGTTCCCCCTGAGGGAAAACCTTTATTTTCAGGCACAATGCTTGGAATTTAGTAGCCGCTCAATAAATTGCTTATTATACATATAAGTGCATATATAGATGAGATGTGCTTCATAATATAAATGTAAAAAACATTTTTAAAATCTGTGATAATTCATGAAAATAAGCTTAATAACATTTTCAAGGCAGTTTAGTAATTCAAATGTTAAAAGCACTTTTAATCTTTTCATTGCATATGAGAAAGAAATTAGACATAAAATTAAGGAAAGTAATATAGAAATAAAAAAGCAATTTTGAAATTTAATTCTTTACCTCTGAAAGCCAGTGTAATTCTTAATGGAATCATGTATATAATAGACACAAAGGACAGCTGTACATGGTGAACAAACAGGTTAAAGTAGTAGGATTGATCAATATTTGATAATAGCAGTGGCATGGGCTTCTCTCCAGCACCTTCTCCCGTGGAGAGGACCTGGAGTATCTCTTGCTATGTGCGCCTCTACTTAGTCTGCTCATCTCTACTTTGTCTGCTGACCTCTTGTCCCTTCAACCCACTCAGACCAGTCCTCTTTCCAGGCTCCTTAAAAAGCAGTTAAACCAACATAAAGACAAGCTGCAAGCCATATACGCCTCCCAAGAAGAAAAAAGTTGCAGATTTGAGACAAAGATTCATGAACTCACAGCCAACCAGGATAGTCTGTGGGCCAAGCTACAGCAAATGGGACAGGATTTACAGGTATAAAAGGTGGGAGACCCTGGCCCTCTGGACCGTCTGGAAGTCTGACCTTGAATCCTCTGGCCAAGGGAAGGCTCCTGCCTGAAACTTTGCATCTCACTCCGGTCAGCCTCTTCCCTTTCCCTCTCCTCTTTTATACTCCGACCAACTCCCACTTTCATTCTCTACTCTGTGTCCTCCCTCTTTCTGAAGGTAGTGCCATTGAGAGAGAACAATATCAGTACCATTTAGAAACAGCAGGCCTGGGACAAGGTGATTCTTTACATCTTTGTTCTTAAACATTTTGGTCTCAGTATCCGTTTTACGTTCTTAAAAAATCTTGAGAATCCCATGGAACTTTTGTGGGCTATATCTCTTGCTCTTCCCTATAATCAAAATTAAAACTGAAATGTGATTTTAAAATAAAGGTATTAAGTAATTTAAAAATGAAAGTAATGAATTATTATATATGTAATGTTTTTAAACAGTAACTACACATTTTTTAAACTTAGAAGAGTGGAATCATTTTTTAATTTTTATAAACCTCTTTAATATCTGACTTAATAAAATAGCTTCAGCGTTCAATCTGTTGCAAGATGTTTTGGTTGAAATATATGAAGAAATCTGGCCTCACAGATTTGCAGTTGAAAAGAGTATTTTAATAAACTTTTCAGGTAACTGGAGATCTTCTTTGATACTACACCAAAGCATGATAAAAGATTGTTTTTCAAATGATAGTTGCAATATTAAATTTGAAACTACATCTATTTTACACTGTCTTATTAAAATGCAATGTTCTGTTCCCTTTGAATGAATCTTATACCCATGCCTGATTCTGTAGCATCATGCATTGATCATTTGGAAGTTCACCAAGCTTCGCTGAACTTCTTAACGTTCACTTATTTTATTATATAAGACCAAAAACAAAAGTCTCATTCATTAATGTCACCACCAATCTCCTCAGAAATGTCTTTCAGAATTGGAAAGCTAGCAAGCCTACGGTGGTGAATGCAAGTTTTCCAAAATTCTAATTTTTGCTTGAAACTGCTAAAATTGACAACACATATTATTAGCTGTTTGTCCTACTGTGACAGTTGCATTTCACGTATTTTTGAGACAATGTTTGCCAAATGCCCAAGTCTGAATAACATAGTCTACAAGTAATTCTTTTGCACAGAGGCAATTTTTATATTTCAGTAAACATCAGAAGTGTTTTACACATACCTCCCATTTCATCACAGAGTGTATTAAAAAGACATGTTTTATTATAAAGAGAATTAAGAATTTTTCTTACACCATCAAGGATATTCTTAAGTGGAACTTGCTTCTTTTTTTTTTTTAATGGCAAGTGAGTGGTGGCAAATGCCATGACAACCAGCGCTGTTTGTTGATGCTGCCTGGATTTGCTCCAAGGCATCCGTAGCTTTAGATTTACTTACTCTTGATTTTGCACCTTCAGTGCAAATGTTTACACAATGTTCAGGCAAATAGCCTCTAAGTATCACTGTGAAAATAATTTCGATACCATGGGCCCCTAGAAGCATCTTGGGAACCTCCAGGAGTCTGCGCACGACACTTCGTAGGGAGCACACCCCCTAGATTTTATACCTATGGACTATCATGAAACCACAATATTCCTACCTAAATAGATCATTATGAACATTTTTTAAAAATATTTTATTTATTTATTTTTAGAGAGGGGAGGGGAGAGAGGAAGAGACGGAGAGAAACATCAATGTGAGGTTGCACCTCGCATGCCCCCAGCTGGGGACCTGGCCTGCAACCCAGGCATGTGCCCTACATTGGGAATTGAACCAGCGGCCTTTTGGTTTGCAGGCCGGCTCTCAATCCGCTGAGCCACATCAGCTAGAAAACATGTTTTATTATAAGACTTTTAAATCTATTAATCCAATGTAGGCAGATATTTTTAGCCATTCTTTATGATGTTTTTAGAGCCTGAGTTCCTAGAACCTAGAGTTTTTCAAATTCTTATGATTAATCCCTGTAATATTTTAATATCTGAGCTGTTTTAATTTTTGTACAGTTTTAGATTGACATTGAATTAACAGCATAAAATAAAATTAATTGTGATAAATTTGGAGAGCAGGAAAAAAAATCTTGCATTAAAATTTCTTATTGGAACACTAAAATTTAATGCATTTCTGAAAAATATGGTAAATGTTAATTTATCCATAAATAAAGCTTTCTTTCTCCAGGCAATGGTACAGCCACTCCATGCATCTTCTTCTTGTCAAAATACGGTTTCCAAGGGTGACCATGGAAAGGGTGAAAGGTTTTGGAAGGGAGAAGATTCTTCCCAGATCAAGAATGCCACTGTGGAAGGTTTGGAATGGGTACCTCTTCCTAACCCCACTGTAGCTGACAGAAGTCAACAAAGTCAAGCAAAAGTATTGGATGCTTTACCGAAGTCAGAATCACCACAGGACATTTTAGAGCCAAGGTCAACGCAAAGCACCAGGGCACAAAGCCAAGGGCAAAAGACCTCCAGGGAAATCTTTGGCTCCTCTCCCAGTTCCCAGGAAGGACTGTGGCAGGACACCCCCCAGATCACTCCTGCTGAAATAAACTCTCCTGCTCTGGCACCCATCGAAAGGAGAGAGGCGGTTAACATCCAGGAGGAAAAGGATGAGCTGGAGGAGGAGGAACTGCAAGAATTGTTATCAAAATTTATGGATGCCTTCACTCTAGAGATGCCATCAGGTAAGATTTTCATAATTGATAGAAATAATGATGGCCTTTTAGGCTGCCTTTTAAAATACTTGACTTTATAACATTAGCCCAGCAGCTGCAATTCATCTAGTAAGTGCCATTCATCAGCAGTCAGAGTCGTGAATCTTTTGGACATCAGGAGCATGTGTGAACTTGATTTCCAGTACTGCCTAATTCATAGGGTAGTTGTGAGCATGAAAGGTGATAAACTATATGAAATTTTAATATAGCAGCTGGCACATACCAAGAATTTAATAAATGCTTATTATCTTCTTCATAAGCTATGACTCACTGCTAAATTCTGAAGGCTTTCTTTCTAATCCTTTTTTGTTATAGTTACTTCTTCTGTTTTGTCAAGACAGTGTTTTGTTTATAGAGTGTTTTGTTATTTTAATATATTGATTTTTATATCTATACCTGTTTCTTTTTGTAAAGATCTTTCATATTGGAGTAATTGAGAGACTTGTGATAACATTCTTGTGTGTTCCTGCATCAAGGCGGCCTCAAAATATTTCTTACTTGGTATATTAGTTTGCTAGAGCTGCCATAGCAAAGTACCACAGGCCGGGTGGCTGTGGTATTTATATATATTATACATTTTTTTCTAAGGTTCCTGAAGGCTAGAATTCTGAGATCAAGGTGTCAACAACTTTGGTGTTTTCTGAGGCCTCTCTCCTTTGCTTGTAGAAGGCTGTCTTACTGTGTTTTCACACCATTTTCCTTTTGTGCATGTCCCTACCTAAATTTCCTTTTCTTATAAGGACACTACACATTTTAGATTAGGACCTAATCTAACTTTATTCTTCTTTAATTAACCCCTTAAAAACTCTATCTCTAAATATAATCACATTCTGAGGTACGGAAGGCTAGGACTTCAGTATATGCATTTGGAGAGGGAGACACAATTCAGCGCATAACAATTGGTAAACTGTAAAATGAACATAAAACAGACATAATGTCTGTTGGATATTGAACTTGGTAGAGCCAAGTCAATGAAGTGATTCTCTGGTGATTCTAAAAATCTCTACTGTAAAGGGAATTGGAGTTAAAATCCTTGTATTAGAGAAAACAAGATCACAAAGATCTCAGAAGCATGCTCAGACTGCCTGAGACAAAGACAGGATGGGAACTCCTTGTACCCAAGATTCCGGCCAGAGTATTTCCATCTAAAATAAACATCAGTGGGGTCATGATAAGCATTCAAAGCAAAGTCAGTATCCACTTGACATTTTTAGAAAAATTTCACATAAAAATTTGGCTTTTTTTCTAGAAATTCATTTAGTATTTTGTATCTTTATCTCGTTTTCGTATTTTGTTTTTGTTTCTCCAATCGAGCTTCTGAAGGCTGCTGATATCTAAAATGTTGTGTTGGGCTACCCATCACAAATGCAGTTGGCTATTTTGCACAGTTCACATTCCTAATAGACACGGTTTCCTACACATATTTGAAGACAACATTACAATACTGTGTGCAATTTGATACCTAAAGATAAAAGACTTCTACATATGTCAAGTGATTTTTATCACTTCTACTATCAACTTCTACCATTAAAGGAAAATCATGAAAAAGTAAAGTTTGTTTCTCGAAGCAGATAATGCAATAAGGTATAAAGATGCAATTAGCATTATTCAATATTGTAGACAATATAAAAATATGTCTCAAAAATTTTTCCTCTACTTTCATTTACAATTGAAGTAGAACTATTGAGATACTTATACAGAAAGATTGCATTATTATACCAAACTACTTGTAGTAGCAGAAAGATGCACATTTTCTCTTTTTGTTATTAGAGTACTATATACTTCATGATTATTTAGCAAGTACTAATTGATAAGATTTAAATTTATAGTATTACTTACTTTATATTACTCTTACTTTTTAGAGACTTTCAGCATAATATCTATGTTAACCTTCACGACCACTATTTGCATTTATTAAACACTGTAATTACTCACTCAAGTATTTATTAAGTTTATATCCTTATTCAGTATAGTATTAAATATAATCCTGTTTGTAAATTCTACTTAGCCATTGGCAATATGTATTACAAGAGTACACTCCATCATTTATGCATAACCTACTATGCTTATCAGAATTACCCCAAACTTAATCAGAGACAGAAGCATAACCACACTGATGAAGGTTTGGGAAGGCAAAGAAATTAAATTAAGGTATTTGTTACCTGTGTTTTATCTCTCTGTGTCATGGTTGAATCAGGCAACAGCAGAGAGTTTCTGATCATTTTACTGTCTTAGTTTTTTGGGGGGTTTTTTGAGAATTTTTGGGAATATTAGAAATACCTACTGTTTGTAATATGCTAAGATTTACTCAGACAGTGTTAATGTATTTACCCAGTGTTGTGACTATCTTAATAGCTGACTACCCTTTTGGATTGGAGCTTTACTAAGGAGTCAACACAGTTTGGAAATTAAAATGAACTTTATATTATATAAGGCTGAATAAGATTAAAACAACAAGCCTGATGGTCAGTTTGGGGGGTATTGTTGATATTAACTGAATGGAGTCATTCAGTATGAAGATTATAATAATAGGATTTCAAGAGCTTGTGAAAGTTTAATAGAAAAGAGAAAGTATAGAAGGGGTTCCCCAAGCCCCTGTAAATTCCAAACGTTGGATTGAAAAATCAGTAGCCATTTGTTCAAACTTTCAGTAAAGGGACTAGATTTGAAAGAGTATCTAACGCTACTTGGTTATGTGGTGACCAAAAAAGGACAAAATAGTCTTACTTTCTCATTAAATTATTTTCTTTCTATTTTGAATAAAATTTCCTCTGTACATCTCTGAAATCCTTTTCCAAGCTTCTTTCCCTTCTCTTTTTGCTCTCTATTTGCCACTGTGTGTTTTAAGGATGAGGAGGGAAGGTGAGGGAATAGAGGGATGGGATTAGCTTGCATGGTTGAGGCTGGAGGTGCTGAAGGACTATTTCTGTTCTTTTCTTCACCTCTGGAACCAACATCTAAACTATTATTTTAAATAATCAGGAAATTAAGCTTGAACTTCAACAAATTGTAAGAAAATAAAGAACAGGACTTTAGCAATCCCGGAAATAGACATACAGCATTATATTTTTTATCTCATTTATTAAGAAGGTAGTCTTCTCAAATGGTGCCTGGGAATCCTAGGAGTGTGTACTAAAACCTTAATGAATCTCCATAAAAGGAGAAAAAAGTGTCTAGTTAGTTCATCATACATTCATTCATTCATTTAACCAATAGTCTTCAAGCATTTACTATGTGTCAAGTGCTGTGTTGGATGCTGGGCATCCATTTTGAAATAGATAGACATATGTTTTTGAAACACTCTGGCATTGTGTGGAAAGTGGCTGGAGAAGGGCAAGGGGGTGAGCAAAGAGGCCAGGTACAAGCCTGTTGTAGTCTAAGCAAGAAGTGATGGCGGCTTGGCCTGAGTGGATGGTGATACACTATTAAAATGAGGGAAGCAAGGAAAGCTGAGATGCATGTGGGCAAATCAAGAGTTCTGTTCTGAGCACATTTAGTGTGAATTGCCTGAGAGACATCCAAATATATACATCTAAGTAGCAATCTACATGTACCATATGGAGCTCAAGAGAGAGGTCTTAGTGTAGTAGATGTTCTATTCTATTGGTTTACTTAATTAATTATTGTTGTAAAAAAGACATGAGCTCAGTATTTTGGTTGCCCAGAAAAGTAATCATAGATAACCTAATATTTTTAAACCTCTCTGTATGTCATTCTCATAGCCTTCTCCTTCATTCTTCACTCATTCAGAAACCAGAGAGATTTTTAGTAACATTCAAGTGAATTATTTTGACATTGAGTTACCCTCTGGACTATTGATTTCACAGGTATTCCTAACATCTCAGTAGGTCTTCGCCTATGTCCTATAGCAATTCAGTCCCTATATGTACTGAATTCCAAGTGTATGCCAAAGAACATTACTAGGTGCATATCTTTGGCTATTTTTAACATTTCAAGGGTCTGGAACTTAAAAAGAAAAACAAACAATGAAAAAAACTCCCACATACGAAATGGTTTATTGCTTCCCTGTTTCTTTATTGCTGTATATTAAATGTTTATCACTGTGGGACAAGAAACAGGATATCCTAAGATAAGTTTGCCTCTGGACAAGGTGTTATACTCAGGCAACAAAACACTAATTATTCAAGGTCCTGTCACTCTCAAGCAATGTTAGAAGATTGAGTAAATAAGGCATAAAACCTCTCCTCTTATGTTCAGCAGAAGACAGCACAGATGGGGCTACAATGTAAATCGTAACTCAAGTGTATAACTAACAAAATAAGCCTTTCTGTGTTTTCATTGCCTGTAATATTTTTATTAATTACACAAACAATATTTTATGACTTCTTCATTGTAACATTTAAATGCTTAAACAAAGATTGTTTTTTTAATGAATTCATTATCACATCTTCCACTCCTTGCTGTTTTGCAGAGGTAACCAGTGTTAACAGTTTAGAGAGTTTGCCTTCAAACTTTTTTCTCTACATATATGTCTTTATTTTTTCAACGTAAGTTAGATTATGTTTACTTTTGTTTTTTTCACTTGACAATATATCTTAAACATTGAGCAATGTCTTTTTTAAAATGTGGCACAATGTCTTATTGTATAAATGTATCATAATTTATTTATTGATGTGCAATTAAGTTGCTTCCAATTTTTTATTATCTTAAAAATGCTTAGGTGAGTGTCCTTTAACAAATATCTTTATATTCATATGTGAATATGTTTGTATAGTCAATTCCTAGAAATTGAACTCAGGGTAAAAATTAGGCATATTAAACTTTTGGTTAGTAACTGACAAACTGTGTATCTTTCTACAGCACAATCCTTACAACAGATTATAGGGGACCACTCAAGCCATGAATTAACAGCTACAGAGCAACAGTTCTCAAAGTGTCATCCCTAGACCAGCAGTATCACCTGGGAACTTATTAGAAATGCAATTTTTTGTGCTCTATTCTTGATATATTATAGGATATAGATAGATTGTTAGAGAGAGAGTTTTTGTTTTTCCAATCAAGCTTAAGAAAGCTGCTGATTTCTAAAATGTTGTGTTGGGTCAGCATATATATGTGTGTGTGTGTGTGTGTGTGTGTGTGTGTGTGTTTATATATGTGTGGGTGTGTTTATATACATATAAAAAGGGAGGGAGGGAGGAAGAAAGAGACAGAGGTTTATTTTGAAGAATTGGCTCACATGACTTATGGAGGCTGACAAGTCCCAACATCTGCAGTCAGAAAGCTAGGGACCCAGAAGAGCCAACAAGTAGCTTCAGTGCAAAGCTGACAGACTCAAGACTTAAGAAGAACTGATGATGTTTCATTTTGAGTCCAAAGGCAGAAGAAAACTGAGGTCCAAGCTGGAAGGCAGTCAGAAGAAATTCTCTTACTCAGACTTTGTTTTGTTCAGGCCTTCAGTTGATTGGTTGAGGTCCATCCACATTAGGGAGGACAATCTGCTTTATTCAGTCCTCTTATTCAATGTTAACCTCATTCAGAAACACCCTCACAGGCACACCCAGAATAATATTTGATCAAATATCTGGGCACCTTATTGCAATTGAGTTGACACATTAAATTGACCATCATGTATCCTGAATCAGAACTCAGGGCAGGAACTAGCAATCTTTTTTAGCACTCCCCAGGTGATTCTGATGTACACCAGAGCGTGGAAAGCACTGCTCTAGAGCGAGTGGGCTTTCTGACTACTCTGATTTGTGCTTGGAGTCATGGGGAAATGCCCTTTAAGAACACACAACCTAGGTTGGGTTAGTAATTGATCCTGGTAAACAAGAATCATCTCATTTGCTAGCTAGTTTAGAGAAAGGACATTGTCATCAGGAACTGAGGAGAGATGGTTTCTGCGCTTCCCTGTCCTAGAGCTTCATCATGATCAGCTTAAAAACCTACAGGTACCTTCTCTGAGGGACTCTCCTGTTTATTGATTTCAGGCCCACAGTCTTCAGTAAACATGGACCTGTATTGCGGAGCTGAGCGAGTAAGCAGGGCCTTCTCTGCCCTTGTTGATCAAATCACCTTGCCCAACTTGAAGTGAAAAGGACTCCAACTGCAGAGACCTGTTGGGGTGATGACAACATGTATTTTCAAAGTCTGTACTAAAATAATTAAGCCTTCTACCCTCCGTCTCAATAGCCTGGTGTGAAATCTGAAGAAAAGTTTAATTTTCAATCTCCTTACTCATGTGTCTCAGTTCTTCAGAGGGAAAGCCTTTGGGAGTGAAAGGCGGTTGAGGGAAATAGAAAGAAGCAGCCGGATCAAATCCAGATGTTCTGACTTTCCAGAAGAGAGCCATTCTTCTTTTTAAAACCTTGGAAGTAATATTCAAGTGGGTGATCTGCATGAATTTGTGCATCTTCTTCAATATTATTTAAATTACTGAATTAATGACCTAATTTTCTCTCTGGTTGTTCTTGCTAGAGGATAAATGTACAAATACATACACAAACCATTGGGTGTACACAGAACTGGTGAGATCAGAATAAACTGTGTACCATTTTCCTGGTTGTATTATTATACCATAGTTATGCACAAGGTTGTCACTGAAGGAAACTGGATGCAGTATAGGATATCTCTGTATTATTTCTTACAACTCTCCCTAAATCAACAATTATCCCACCTTTATTTTTAAAACATGAATGTTTCTCACTAAGATCCCACATCCAATGAGTTTGGCCAAAGTACCTGTGTGCTTCCTTTCTCTGTATGTATATAATTGGGGTATAGATGTTTGACTCAATAATGTCCAAAGTAATAGCTAATATTTTTGGCTGATAGAGCACTTTGTTTCTAAGCACCTTGTGTGTAGTGACTCATTTAATCCTCACAACAAATCCAGCAAGTAGATACTTTATAAGAAAACTGAGGCACAGAGAGGGTTGGGACTTAGAGAAGTGGAGATTCAAGCCCAGCGCCTGAGCCTGTACTCCAAGCACTGCTCTGTACTTTCTCTCAAAATACATTGTTATGAGTTCTTTTTTTTACCTATTAGCTTAATGTGCAGTCCATGTTACATTTAGACACGCTTTAGATTTTCGTTTTTATGATACACAATTTCTAGTACTATTTCCAAAGTGAAATGATGTCCAGTTGGATAGCATTAGGAGCAGGTTGTCTTTGTTCAATCTAATCCTAATATTTTTGAACTTGCTTTTCAATTTATCACAAATTTTTGATTTTGGTTGTGTTGCTCAGTGTATTCCCTCTCCTTACTTCATTCTAGCTTGCGCCTTACAGGTTTGGTAAGCATGCCCCAGAGCACCGATCAGCAAGCTACAGCCCACGGGCCACGTCCTGCCCACTGCTGGTTTTGTACAGGCTATGAGCTAAGAGTGGTTATTATATATTTTTAATAATAAAATAAATCACAAAGGACAATTATTTTGTGATGCCTGACAATGATATGAATTCTAATTTCAAGGTCCAAAAACAAAGTTTTATTGGAACACAGCCATGCTCATATATTTATGTATTTTCTATACAGTGTCTTTCATTTTATAAAGACAGAATTACTGGATGGCCCATGAAGCATAGAAAGTTTACTATCTGACCCTTTACAGAAGAAAATTGGGCATCCCCTGCTGTGTAGATCAAGGTCAGACAGGAACGAGGGGCAGGCATGGTGCAAGCACTGCAGAAAAGAGTGGCATCGTTTTTAACGATTTATAAGAGGTAATGAGCTTATGTGATTTTTTTTTAAAAAAAGAATGTGATTAAAGGCATTAGAGAAAGTAGCTGGAAAGCAAAACCATGAGCCCATGTAGAAATGGTAGCCGAAGAGTAGCAGCCTCTGATGTGCTCATTCTCCTAACCAAGAACAGCTGAGGCTGGGCCCCTCCCCACTCCACCCCAGACTTGCTTCCCCTATTGTAGGGCTTGACCAATCTTCAGCAGCAGCTGAGTCTTCTAATAATACCCTTTAGGTAATTATTTTAGCTTTTGGAGGGCCCTTAACCTTCAGTGAAAGCATTTACCTAGGCTTCTTTTGGGCATGGAAAAAGCAAGTGGATTGCTAACACATCTGAAATTCAAACTGGTGGTCAATCATTTGTTATATTAGAATGATTGTGTGTGGAACTCAAATAAATTTGCCAATTGGACTTCTCTGGTATGACCCTCATTCAGGCCTGGTCATTTAAAGGGAAAAATTTTTTACAGGTAATTTCCTTATACTGCTGTTCATTTTATTTTTAGCTTGCTTTTCAATGCAAGGTATAACCAATTACAAAGTTTTAATAGTTAATCAGACAGAAAACATGCTAATTTGAAAGTGGCACGCTTAATGATATTTTACTTAAGGTAGGATTATCATTAATGGTAACATTAAATATTGAAATAAAGAGATTTTGATAATATTACCTAGGATCTAGAGATTTTTATTCATTTTGTTTCCATTTGAAGAACTCTTTACCAGTTTTTTTGTTTTGTTTTTTGCTTCATTCAGTTCAAAATATTCAAAAATATTATTTCAAACAAGATTTGGGTATCACACATCATCAGTAACTGGCAATTAATAAATATAGTCCCTTCTATGCCTGTGCATAAGCAATCTAATGGTTGATGTCCTGGAAGTCATGCAATGTCTCCAAGTTAAATGTATGACACTAGTTCGCTAACAATGTCATGCATCTCAGAACAAATTAGCAAAATGAATGCAAAGAAACTGAGTATCCCACAACCCCACTCATCTTTGAAAGAGCTCTTTTAACTCTTTCGGACCATGGGATGATCTGGAAGAACTGCCACATAGGCAGGAACATGCTGGCAGCCTAAGAGGATGAAACTAAGCACTCTGAACTTGGCTTAATGTTTATCTCTGGACCTTCCCACCAAGTAAATAAATGATCACTGGTCAAGAAAAAATATACATTTCTTAAATTCCGAGATATGAGTTAGCTCTGAGGTTAGATTTATTTTCTCTTTATTTCCAGGCCTCTTCTCACTTTTCCAGGGAGCTTAGCCCCGCTCCTGTGCATGTGCATGCTTAGCAAATCTTCAATCAACTTTTTCTTCTTCAGGAAAGGTGTTCTTAGTAGCTGAGGATATGCACCTAGAAGAGAAAAGGAACAAGTCATCAAGTCACTAAATTTTTTTCAGGTTAATAAAGATCAATATGTTGGTTTTTAAAAGAAATCCTGCTCCATCTGCCTTTCTACTATGAAAATTCTGTATAAATTTATTGCAGAGGTGTTTATGTAAATTTGTGTTTATATGAAGTTTTGTGTCCTATGATGTTTAGCTATATAGAGTCAATTAAATCAATTGAAATAAATACATTTCTTATTAACATGTATTAAGATGTTTCTAATTAAAAATAAAAATGGTCATTATATAATTTTTAATATAAAATATAAAAAAACTAAACCACCCTAAATATAATCTTCCAGAAATAACCCTAGTTATATGCATACACACTTTATACCATAATGTAGTTTACCATTTCCCTATTATGGTAAACTGTTTTCAAATTTTCTTTTACTGTAAATAATACTGCAATGAATAGCCTCATACTGTATCATTGGGTACATCTCTGAGTGTCTCCTGAGAATGGATTTCTAGATTGGTAATTTCTGAATGTGTTCCTTAGTAAGTTTCTTGAAGTAGAAAATCAAGCATTTGTGAATCTTAATTATTTATATATCTGAAGCATTGTTTTCTCTTCTGTTTGGTATTTAAAAAATTTGCCAGCTAGTTAGACACCAACTGCAAATATCATCCAATTATAAATCTAAATTTTAATTCTCTTGTCATGGAGGAAAGCGAAGACTCACAATTTTTAAAAATCATACGCACTCCCCAGGCAGGCAGGTTTTTCTGTTCCTCTCAGTGGCAGAGCAAGAACTTTAAAAGAAAAAAGCTGTCATTTTTTACACAAACGAGGATATACTTTAAAATCCCTTCAATTGCATAGAGGCGTTTACTAATTCATAAGTTAACCTCAACTCTGTTATTTCCTATTTGGGAGTTACCGTCAGGATATTCTTTTCCTAAATCAATTCATCTAATTTCCGACTCTGTCTCTTGTTTCTCCCATCCTCCACCTCCTTCTCCTTCTCTGCCTTCATGTAATCCGTTAAAATTTAGTGGTTGAGTCTTGGTACACTGTCCTTGCACCTTCCAGATATTTCAGCATTCAATTATTAGCTCATATTGTTCCAGACTAAATAACAATGATCTTTGGAGTTTTTCTTTTTTTCTCAAGTGGTATCTCTAGCCCTCAGACTTTTTGGAATTCTCCTTTCATGTCCGGGCCTCCTCTGTTCCTTCTTATCATTGTTGTGAACAACCATGGCGTCCAGGTCATCCATCCCCCAGGTCGGTACCTGCCCTTGGGGTAAAGCTCTTCTAGATTCTCTCCAGAGTTAAATACATGCCTGTGGTACATTTCTCTTTATAGACCCAGAACATTAGAACAGAGAACTTGCAGAGGCTTTATGGGTCATCTAATTCCTTCCATACCCTTATTTTTCAGATGCAGAAACTGAGGGATAAATAATTAACTTGCCCAGTTGCATAGCTGTTTGACATCTACTGTTTTTATATTTGTTAATATTGCCCAAATATAAAAACAGTAGATATCAAATAGCTATGTTAATATTTGCTGAGCCATATTAACAACTATGATATATTAACATACAAAATTATACGGAGTCTTATGTTTTTAACAAAGCATGATTTATAGCAACATTTCTCAACTGTATTTAAACTATTTCATTCAAAGCCATCACAGTATCAAGAACCTTTTGCACATTATGCAATCGTTTATTTTAGTCCTTTCTTTCCATTTTGATTATGTGATTTCCCTGAGAACAATGGCAGCTAATACTTCTTCACCTTTACCCATCCCAACCTGGTAGCATGTAAGCCCTCCAAAGACAAAAGAAAAATTAGTGCAGAATTTGTGAAAATACATCCAGGACGAGTTGAGCCACTAGAGATTTAATCAAGCCTCTTGAGATGACATCTCAATGTTCCTGCCATGACTTAACTTTTAGACATAGTGTCTTCTTGACCCAAGACCCTCTTTGACTATAATTA